CTGAAGCCCAGGAATTGATTTTGATTTGGAATTCATAATAATTGTATTAACCTTCTTATATAAAAAGTATAATAAATTTAGATTAAATAGAATTCATGCTAATTGCCAAGAAGGTGAAACTCCCGAAATAATTATATAAAACTTTAAACTCACTGTAAGTTCGTTTTTTAAGAAGGGAGGTTTATAACTATAAACCCTGTAGCTAATTGGTCAGCGAAGTAAATGCTTAGTTGCACCAATTCAGCAGTTTTAGTTTATAAGTACCACTTGCAATCTTAGCATAAATTCAGTTATAAGTTATCAGTTGTCACAAGTACACTATTGCTGTAACTCGTCGTTTTGAAAATAAATCTTTTTTAAAAGGCTTGACTGAAGAATTTAACTCCAGCGACTTTTTTTGCGTTTCCCGTAAACACACTTTCCATTCATATTCGTTTCTGTCGCCGGATTACATAACGAAAACGAGCAAATCGGGACTGGAATCTCAAATAGTTACCGTAAAAGTCAAGAAACATTGCAGCTTGCTGTTGAACGATCACTGGCACAACGAATCGCCCAAAATCCTCGATTCGGACACTCAACAGTGGACGATCGCAGTTAAATAATCACTGACAACCTGCAATGTTGTTTAATGTTTATAAATGATCCCGTATCATCATCCTCCAGCAGCCTTCGAGACCCTGGCGATGATAATGGATGTGGCAGGAAAGATAACCCTGCTGCTCCTTCAGTATGTTTTATTTATTGTAACTGATCCTCTAATCAGTGGGCACGAAAACTGTCATTACTAAAACCATTTTATCGAACCACAACTATGCCTGCAGGCCATCATCCAGTGGACCAAAACAAGACCAATATTGTTCAGATTGAAATGATCGAGGCGTGTACTGATGATTTCTCCTTGTTATCACCACCTAATGATGGCTTAATCTCATGGCAACTAGCTGGGAAGTTTTCTACTCGTCGAACCGATTTGTAAAATTGAACTATGAATAAATCGGCATCATCCATCAAGGCACCGTCGTGCATTTATATCGCCTTCTACCAGAGGTGCGCTCTTGAACCTCATTTGAATGAATGAGTTGCATAAACGGGAATGCGAAGGCCTCGCACAAATGCTAATAAATCGATGTTGCTTTGTAGACTATTTATTAGTCCTGATGGACTGAAAGTGGTCTTCGGAATGCGTCAGGTGAACTGAGATAGGCGAAATTCTTGCAAGTTGGGACCGAATTTTGCGATCAGTTAAACCAATCGATATTATTGGCAATGCCAAGGACAGGAATCAGCTGACCGGTGGACGATTACGCGAAAGATAAATATCAAACATCTATAATTAGCCAATGGGCGAGCAGCAGATGGAGGAATGTGCCAAATATACCAACTTACGTGCACATTGTGAAAAACACCAATAACGCCAAACACTGTGATATAACCTGTTTTGTTAGAGCGTCGCCGAGTCGTCGTAGACCTTGATGATTATTTTTACAGTTCATCTACTGCATACGTATGACGGTCTAAATGTACCTCAAGGTTTTAAACTCATTTTTTTAAATCGAAAGTCGTCATTCCATTCGGCTGTTTGCAATCGACTGCGGTTTCTTTCCATCATTGGAAAACCTGCGAGTGCCAAGTGCGGATATTCCTATTTTCCACCAACGAATTCATGCACAAAAAAATATGCACGAGTATCCAAAAATCACCATACGAATACCCCAAAACACGTCAACCAACTATTTTTAATCAACACCCAAAAGAGCAGAATGAATATTGTTAACTTTCGGAAAAATCCTTTGCAAACAGTACGCGTCACGTTCGCGTTGACTTGCTTTCAAGCTTTCCGTATGAATCGACGGGTTTTTGGCCACCTCGCTTGGATTGGAATTCGTTATATTGAAAGTGAAAATGCCAAATTCCGGCGATGTTGTTTTTGGCACTTTCGTACAAAAAGCGCGTTTTTTCTGCCAACTTCTACAAGTAAAAATACCGGCACTAATCGGCAAAGCCCCCGTTTTCTATCGCTTTCCTGTGTCTTTCCCGGTTTTCCCGCAAAGGAAATCTCACAACGATCGACACAAAAATGCATTAATTACTTGGTCAGACCCAGTTTGGCAGGCAGTCATTCAAGAATTCCCTCCCGAAATAGGCACTTTATTATAACAAAGGCGTAAAAAACATTGCTGACAAAGTCTTGATTGAAATTTCCAGTTGATGACGGCTAATAGACTCGAAACCTGCCAATTCTGGGGGGTACCTGAGAGTAACAGACCGCAAAATCTGCACCCACTCACATCAGCCCAGCTGATAATAGTAAGCTTTTTTACACCAGTGACTTTAACCGTCCGTTTTCTTACTCGGCATATTCTGAACAGTTTCAATTAGAATTTACTACCTTTTCCCTTGCAGCTCATTTGCAATTACCAGCTGAAATATGGGGTAAGCGATGCGTTATTCTGTCACAATAAATTTTCATAAAAAAAAGGTCGGCATGTTGAATTGCTGCCCATCTTTTAGCGACTTCGGTAAGAAACAGAGTGAGGCACCACTTTTCCACAGACCATTAACTGGCAGCGAAAGTTAAGCACTTTTATCGATGGGCATTAACTTGAAAATTTATAAGAAACTCATCCTGCCGGTGGACAGAATGCGCGATTTTAAACACGCTTCTGGCTCAAAAGAACTAAATTTTTGTATGAAAGCTGTTGTTTTTTGCTTCACTTGCTTAGTTCGTTCTCAATTGTTCCCTGCCTGCAAAGTTGCCTCATACAAAAATACGATACAATTGCGATAAAGTCGGCATCGAACGCGAGGAATTTGGCACCAAATGGCAAAAATAACAAAAAAAAACAGGTCTTGCGTAACTTAATGAGCGTTGAAAGGTCCGGCGCTGTTGAAACATTTGAGGCTTATTAATTAATTTGCTAACTAAACACTGTTAAGAGTGCTTCTGCCGTGCATGGACCGGCGGTCAGGCGATTGCCAAAATATAAATAACTTATTTTCCGATTTCCACCGTAAATAAGAAACTTGCCAATGTTTGGATGGTCTAGCAAATAGAAAAACTACATTGAGCTTCTAGATCAGCCCAGCAAAAAAATTCGAAAACTTCCAAAAATTGGGCTAGTGAACCTCAACACACTCCAAGGCTATTTTCACAATTCGAGTGTTTGAAACTGTGCTCATACGTTGAACAGAGGTGAACAACCGCAATGATCTAAATATACTTCGGTAAAATGAGTTTCTCGGCCGGTGACAGTGTCTGGAAGATAGAAACTAATTGCATAAAACACATTCTGGTGCCACGAGATGCCATTATTTTCAGTTGGCTCGTAAAACACCTACTTTATGCGAGTCTTCTGGCTAAGCCTGATTAGCCGATCCACGTGGAATGGAAAAAAACATCGGGCGAAGCAAAAACACGTGTTTCAATGATGATCTTGAACTTGCCTGATGGGCTTTTTTTGGTGGTCGTCCAAATTATTTTATATCCTGATATTGTCTATATTTAAAAATGACCGTTTCGAAGCTGGAAATGTACGTGTTGACCTGCTCGCGCATCGAATTGATGCAAAAGACAACAAAAATCGAAGCTGCAAGAAGTCAAAGACCAGCGCAGTTAAAACAGGTTGCAATCAAGAAGCTTCAAACATTGCTAGAGAGCTCAACCAATGCAACTGGGCCAATCGAAAGACTCGTATGCTTTATAAACAAATAAACGCCTGGGCAATTGTCCAAGATCGCTCTCAATTGGAGTTCAAGGAGAGACAAATTGCATGAATGCCGAACCAAGGGTTAACTAATAGCGCTCCAATCAATAAACAACATGGTGTTATAATCGGTTTTATTAGGCCTGCTATTCATGCTGCAAATTAAGCAAATAAAGAACGTGTGGTTGGAAGCGGTTCCCGGTTGTTTAGATGATCGGTTCAAACCGGCTTTGTGGATTTAAAGGTAGCGCCAATTAAAAAAAAAAACAAAGTGGCAATCAAGTTCTATTTTTAAGCAAAGTTGCTAAAAATATCGGACGTCGAAACCATGTGTTGAGCTGGATGAGAAAGGAAAAATGCAGTTGGTAGGCGATCACCGGAAGGCAACCAAAGTAAATCGCACCTGACCGACTGGGATTTTTCCATCGGATGACAATCACACTTACATTCCTGCTATCGCTCGTTACTGCACAATTCACGAACTTACATAATCGACAACAGCGAATTACTGGATTCGAGCATTCCGGCTGCCACGACCTTATCACTCGCATAAACAAACCGATTTCGCGTTAATTGCAACATTAAAGTGAATTAAAAACGGTGTAAGATCACTTTTTTACAATGAATCGTGCATACATTTGCAAATTGTTTACGCATGACTTACAGGCTGAATGTTTGACGACCTTCATCAAGTGATTATGATAGCGCCACGTTTCCTTAAACTAAAATTAGAAGCTTTTTTGTAATCTGGCGCAATCACTGGCACGGTTGATTCGAATCGGGTTTTAGAAAACCACAATTATTACTGGGTTAAATTAACCAGATTAGGCAGGAAAAACTGTAATCTACGCTACGAATGGACGTGAAGAAACGAGGAATTTTCATTGAAGAACTCGCCGAAGAAATTCAACACAAACGTAATCAAACAACGAGTATTTCCTTGAAAGATGGATGGCAACAGTTGATTATTCCGGACTTTTTTCTAAGCACCATTATTTGCCTAATATTAGGAGCTGATTGGTAAAGTTGTTGAGAGTGCAGCGTTTTTTTCAACAAAAAGCCTTGAGCGAACGCGCATAACACACTCGGAAATAATTGGATGGCAGGTTGATTTACAAGTGCGATTATCGCACCGATAAACAACGACTTGTGATGATCGTAAAATGATTAAAAAACATTTGACTTTTAACGAAATTTCTCAAAGGAAAAAATTATAACGCCTCGTCTTCCATCTGATAACGAAGCCATCGCCCTGGCAAAACTACTTTCGAATATTGCCGAGACAATAAAAGCCTCAAGGCCACAATTGCAGTAACGTGAATCATGCCCCACTGGTGGGTTTGTCGCTATGTTTAATAGCAATTTATCACAGTTAAATAAGCGGCCTTAAGGCCTTTGGACAGCCACAAAAAGCTCAGTTACGTACGAAAAACGCCGATTTATTAACTAACAGTTGAAGATGGTGTTTGAAGTGAAAAACTGTTGATGGTTCTAGAAGGAAAACACGTTGAAAACGATTTTTGCGTATTTTAAGCTTCATTTTACTGGCTACAATCACTGTCCCAGTTAACGAAAATGTATTTATAAAACCGTTTAAGACAACAAACAAATTATCTTAAATATTTAACATATTTTTTGAAAAACCAAGTATTTCCGATATTTACACAAAAAAACACTATATTTTAGAAACTACGAATTATTACGAAATACAAAACCTGCTAAAGGCGCAAAACTTAAGAACTTAAACGAAAAAAGGGGGTTTTAATGGATTCCTAGATAGAAACTTGAAAATTTACTCTTGAAACATTATTTCTTCAGAAACGAGGAAATTCAAACGACTCAAAACATGTAAAAGCGGCGACTGAACCCGATGTTAAAATAAGCACTTTTGGCAACAAAAAGAACCTGAACAACTTAAACGAAAAAAAGGGGGTTTTAATGAMTTCCTCGATATATACTKSAAAACTTACCCTTGAAACTAATGGGTTTTTYGGGTTTTTAGGCCGTCGTTCGGTAGAATTTCTTCTTGACGTTTCGCAAGCACGAGTGGCTTGCATCTTCAGAAGTGGTCTGCTTGAACGCTTACACTGTTCTCATCAGAAACCGATCAGTTCTGCGGAAGAAATTCTACCGAACGACGGCCTAAAAACCCGAAAAAGTTTAGGTCTCAAAATTTAAGTTTTAATGTTTTTTTCCAGAGACGATTTTAACTCTCCTAATATGTTTCCTTGCAAAATTACATTTTTCCAGCTGTTAAAGTCAATTTCTCATATTGGACTTTGAGCGCAACGGTTTTTGCTCGAGATTTCTCAAAAACGCGTTTAATCCTACTGTTCATTTTTTTGAAGATAAATCGCGATGTATTTGATCATCAAATCATTTCTTCTAAAATGATCGTTAAGCAGCCAAATTGGTCTTAAATTTGGAACTGGATAAATTCTGATTGTTTCTAGTCATTTGGTTTCTGTTTGAAGTGTTGTTTTCCGTTCTGCATCCGAATTTTGCATCCATCTTTTCTATATACAGGGCGGTCTCAAGAACCCGTTCAGTTCTGCGGAAGAACTGATGAGAACATTGTAAGCATTCAAGCAAACCACTTCTGAAGATGCAAGCCACTCGTGCTTGCGAAACGTCAAGAAGAAATTCTAGCGAACGACGGCCTAAAAACCCGAAAACCCCATTAGTTGCAAGGAATGGCCTCGAATAGATCTCTTTTGATATTGCCCTTGAATTATGTCCTTAGAATCTACAAAATATCAAAAGACCCAAATTATGCAAAAAACCTCAACTAAAACCCGATGTTAAAATGAGCAATTTGGGAAACAATAAGAAACTTAACTTCTATCAAATTTTTTTCAGCCAATTTTTAAGAACCCGGTAAGACAACCACTGAAATTTTGGCAGCGATGAGAAACTTACAAGTTAAGCGAGGAAAAAGTAGGTTTAATTAATTTTCCGATAGTAACTCGTGAATTGCCCTAGAAGCGCGTTTCTTTAGTGCATCCAACAAAAAACCGAACGTGCCTTTTCCAATTAATTTACCATGTGTACTTTGGAAGTTTCACTCGATACTTCCAGTTGTACAAACTGAAACTTCACCGATCTAGATCAAGGAAAATTGGAAACTAATGACCAGCGTTTAGTTGAGCCGCATGTAAGAATGGGGCAGAAGAGGAAAAGCATTTTCGAAGATAGTAAACCTCCAAGTAAATGGATCACTTTTGCTGAGACTCTCTGACTAAAAAACAAACGCTCGCGTAACGAGGTCATGGGCTTATCGCGATTGTAAAGTTGTAGTTTTCCCGATGATTAGTCTTGGTGGCACTTCGGAGAAAGCATAAAACTGAACGTGATCGATTGCTCAACAAGTGGTCGCTGTTCGCAAACTAACAATCTACGGTACTTACTTGTTAAGCCAGGTTCCTCCTCCGAAAACGTTAAGAATCCCTTACTCATATCCTCGGTCCTTGGAGCGAAAATCGTCTTCGTCGCCGTATGAGGCCGGCCAGCACTTTCTGCGGGTGGTTCCTTCGGTGGTTCGAATGAGGAAAACAACTTGGCAGTAACTGCGATCGGCCGTGATCTTGGTGGTACGGTTTTAAGTGGCGATGGAGGACAATCCGCTTCTATCGCCGATTTCTTGCTACTGCCACCGTTATTATTATCTATTGGTTCGACGATCACTTTTGGTCTCAACACTGAGCACCCAATCTGGCTGGCCGATTCAAGGGTGGGCGACGTTTCGTACTTCACACAGGCCAACTGATGGGCCGAGTAAACTTCATCTTTGCATTCCACACCACTGAAATAATTTGTCTGCTGATGGGCACTGACGACCGGTTTTCGATGTTTTTTTCGCTCAGCAGCGCGACTCGAAAACGATGTTGCGAATACGTGATTGATACTGTTGCTCTGTTAGTTTCGCACGGTGAAACACTTGATTGAAGTGAAATTGGCACTGGAAAATTGTCGTAAATCGCCGGCAGTTCTGGCTGTTTGGCAAGCCTGTTTATCTATATCATTGCCTGTATAGTAGAGTTTTCTTACTGATAGGAAACCGGCTGACGATGAGTCTTTGCGTATTGTCGCGTGTTTTCTCCCACTACACTCCGGTTGGGGAACATTAAATGCGGAGCAGCGTTGCCTAGATGGGGACCATCGAAATCCCCATTTTTCAGTTTTACCCGCTAATTCTCGATTATTTACCATTAGTTTGATTCTCTTCCCAGCTCCATTTCCGTCTCGTCAACCGCAAGAGATACAAAGTCGGCTCGGTTAAGGAAAAGTTGCGCATTTTAAAGCTGCACAAAACGGTTTTTTGGACAATTCCGACTACTTAAAGAACTAGTCGAAAAAAACCCCAATTTTGATTTTTTCTGGGCTTTTTTGGACAAATATTTCCAAATCCTTATCACACTAGTAGATCACTTTTTAATGCTCTACACGATTATACTATCAGATCTGGAATTCAAGGTTGTAAACCGGTGACACACAAACAAGTTGATGATCGGTCGAAAACGCAACATTGACCTGATCTGAAAACTTAAAATAACTTTTTTTACAAACTTCTTTTTGGGTATTTTGCCTCAAAAATTTTTGTCTTTAAAAAAGACAGAATTTCCTCACGTCTTTTATTTATTACAGATTGATAAATAGTGCTCCTATTTCGCAATAAGAACGAATTATTTATCAAAAAGTAATCAAGAACTATCATATATCATATTCCTTTTCTCAATATACTAATTCAGAAAAATTTAGACAATTTCGGAACCTTGGTCTATAGAAAACCTACTCATACTAACCGATATTTGAATTTCGACTCAAATCACTCGATAACGGTTAAAAAAGGTATCGTAAAAAGTCTATATGATAGAGCAAAAATAATTTGTAATCAATCTAATTTTTCCAAAGAAAAACAATTTATAAAAGAAATTCTAAATTTCAATACGTATCCAAATTCTTTTATTGAAAAATGTTTTAACGAAATTGAATTCCCGCGAACAAAACAAAATCAAAATAAACCTTTTACGAACCTTTTCATTCCATTTATTCCAGGACTTTCGGATGAAATTAAACGAGTAGGTAAAAAATTTAATATTAGGACTATCTTCAAAACTGAATATACAATTAGAAGTAAAATTTCAGTAACAAAAACTCATGATATAATTGAAAATACAAAAAATGTAATTTATAAAATTCCTTGCGAATGCAATAAATTTTATATAGG